TGAAAGATTTTATTATTAAGTGATCTCTACACCCAACATGGGGCTCAAACTCAACCCTGAGATCAAGAGTCACATTATCTATTGACTGAGCAAGCCAGGTGCCCTGAAAACATTTTCTTCTTAATCTGTCATTCTTCTTCTGACTTGGCTTATATACTTTCTTTATTAAATAGAAATCCGTAATGCTAATGTCAAATTTGTCAGGGTGCCTGGGTAGCTCAGTCGAACGGTTAAGTGTCCAACATTGGCTCAGGTCATGGTCTCATGGTTTGTAAGTCTGAGCCTAGCACTGGGCTCTCTGCTGTCAGTGCAGATCTTGCTTCGGATCCGCTGCCTCCCTTTCACTCTGCCTCTGTCTCTCAAAAATAAATAAAAGCATTTTTAAAAAACTAAAACATAATTGTCCGTATTTCAGTTTATCATTTGGATTTGGTGGATCTTGTTAAAGAAGTCCTACCCACTGGCAAAGTCACAGATTAGATGCATAATTGGTATATTTTATTCTTCATTTCTAACAAGTATTTAAGATTACTAATCTTAAATTTGCAGTGTTATTAGTTTTTGACCCTGTCATCTCTAATAGTTACTTGTTTATATATGCTTTTTAAAAAATTGAGGTGAAATTCATATAACATAATTAACCATTTTAAAGGGTACATTTTGTGGCATTTAATGCATTTTTATCATGTTATATAACTACTACCTGTATCAAGTTCCAAAACATTTTTATTACCCCAAAAGAAAACTCCTGCCCGTTGCCATTTCTCCTTCCTCCTCCAGACCTATGGCTCTCACCAGTCTTTATGGATTTACCTCTTTGAGACATTTCCTTATAAATGGGATCATACAATATGTGGCCTTTTATGTCTTACTTTCACTTAGCATAACGTGTTCAAGGTAAGCCATGTTTCAATGTGTATATAAGTATTTCATTTCATCTCCTGGCTGAATATTATTCCATTCTTTGCATATATTAATTTTGTTCATTCATTTATCCATTAATGGACATTTGAATTGTTTCCACCTCTGGCTATAGCAAATAGTGCTGTTATGAACATTAAGGTACACATATGTATTTGAGTACGTGGCTTTTTTTTTTAATGTTTTATTTATTTTTGAGAGAGAGAGAGAGTGCATGCACATGCAAGAGGGAAGGGGAGGGGCAGAAAGAGAGGGAGACACAATCTGAAGCAGGCGCCAGGCTCCAAGCTGTCAACATAGAGCCCGACGCAGGGCTCGAACCCACAAACCGTGAGATCATGACCTGACCCAAAACCAAGTGTTGGATGTTTAACTGACTGAGCCACTCAGGCGCCCTGACTACCTGGCTTTAATTCTTTAAGGTATATACCTAGGAGTAGAATTGGTAGGTTGTATAGTAATTCTTTATCTTTTTAAGGAACCACCAAACTGTTTTCCTAAGCAACTACACCATTTAACGTTTCTGGTTTCACTCCATTATGACCAAGGAAAAAAACTTGTATGATTTCATTCTTTTTTAGTTTATTGAGATGTGTTTTATGTCTTAGGATATGGTGTCCTCAACAATATTCCATGTGTACTTGAGACAAATGTGCAGTCTGCCGTTGTTGGGTGGCATCTATCACTTTTAAGTTTCCTCTCTCTTAATTCAGCATGTGTTTGGTTGCTATAAAGCTTTGACTGTTTTCCAGAGTTCCCACAGTTGATTCTGACAGTTTTTACTCATTATTTTTAGTTGTTCTGTGGAGGGACAGTCCTTCAGAGGTACCCATCCTGTCATGTTTGCCAACATCACTCTCAGTAATTCCTTTTTAAAATGTTTTGTAACGTCTCTTTAACATTCTGAAGTAAAATGTATAGGTAATCTACCTTAATTCATAGAGAAGTTTAAAAAAAACAATGTAATGTGGGGGACCTGGGTGGCTCAGTTGGTTGGGCATCTGACTTCAGCTCAGGTCATGATCTTGCAGTTTGTGGGTTCAAGCCCCTCATTGGGCTCTGTGCTGACAGCTCAGAGCCTGGAGCCTGCTTAGAGTTCTGTGTCTCCCTCTCTGTTCCTGCCCTACTCGTGCTCTGTCTCTCTCTCTGTCTCTCTGTCTCTCTCTCTTTCATAAATAAACATTAAGGGGCGCCCGGGTGGCTCAGTCGGTTAGGCGTCCGACTTCGGCTCAGGTCATGATCTCACGGTTCGTGGGTTCCAGCCCCACGTCAGGCTCTGTGCTGACAGCTCAGAGCCTGGAGCCTGTTTCAGATTCTGTGTCTGCCACTCTCTCTGCTCCCCACTGTTCACCACACTCTGTCTCTGTCTCAAAAATAAATAAACATTAACAAAAATTAAAAAAAAATCAATGTAACGTATAAACTGTAGTGTATAGGCGAAATAAAAGGAAGTAATTTTTAAAGCATAGTATGAATTTCAGTATGTGAGTACATATGATATTGGAAGGCATAATGAAGTAGTGACATGTTTTACCTATTTAAATAAGTTGGATTAAAGAGATGTAAGACGACCAGATTCCTTTTTGTTCAAATGCTAATAAGTGAAAGACTAAAATGTAGTCATAAAAACGAAACTTTTTATATGTACAGGAAATGAGAGAAATCACTTAAGGAGGAGTTGAGGTAAAACATCAATACAAATTATAGACTAAAGAGGTGAAAGAAAGGAGAAAGTATAATATTCTTATAAATATGCTGGACCTTATTTGAATCATAATTGCTTTGTAAAGAGCGAGGAAATATATTTTTTTATTTGAAATCCTAACACATGTCAGGGCAAATATGTTAGTATTGAGTACTTAAGTTCCTGGAAACAACGTCCTTTCAGTGAATATGGGATTCAGAGATGGATTTTTAAAAAGCAGTGATAGGGAGTGCCCGGGTGGCTCACTTGGGTAAACGCCCAACTCTTCTTTTCAGCACAGGTCGTGATCTCCCAGTTCATGGGTTTGGGCTCCATGCTGACAGAACAGTCTGCTTAGGATTCTCTCTCTCTCCCTCCCTCTGTCTGTCCCTCTCCCCCCGCCCCACCTCTCTAAATAAATAAACATTAAAAAAAAATAAAAAGCAGTGATAGGACGTTTAGGACCAGTTTCAAAGTAAGTTTGAAAAATAACCAGCAATTACAAAATAAATGAATGATTTTAATTGGTAATTTTTACACTAGATTTCTCATTCATATACATATATGCCTATATATGATATGCAATATTTTTAAAACCGATGGAATTAAATAAGATGCCTTCATTTCTCTTTCTTTCTTTTTTTTTTTTTTAAAGTAGGCTTCGTGCCCAGCATAGAGCCCAAACTCCTGACCATGAGATCAAGACCAGAGTCAAGATCAAGAGTCAGATGCTGAGCCAACTGAGCCCCCCACGTGCCCTAAGAGGCCTTTGTTTCATGTATTTCTGTAATTCAGTATTTGATACTAAGTCTCTTAAAAAGGAGTTTCACATTCTCTATTGTGTATTTAAAATTGGCTTTTTTCAGGCACCTGGGTGGCTCAGTTAGGTGATCCTATGGTCGTGGGGCTCCACACTGAACATGGAGCCTGCCTTGGGGGATTCTCTCTCTGCCCCTTCCCTGCTTGCACACACTCTCTCAAAATATAAGTAAACAAAATAAAATAGGCTTTATTGCTATAGTAACTGCACTGTTACACCAAAACACTTTCAAACAAATGCACAATTTGAGGTACAAGCATAAGTAAATTAATTTTCTTCCAAAAAAGTGAGTATAATAGTCATATCTGGATCCAGAAGCTTTCTTAAATTTATACTATTTAAATTGTGTTGACCTTCAGATAATTTTTTAGCTTGTTATAAATGTTGCCTGGCTTGTTTCCTACCTGTTTCAAATAGAATGAGCACGCTCTTTTGTAAATTGGTAAAGATCTTTAAATCTAATTGCTCCCAATCTTTTAAATATTTTTTTTGCTCTTTTGTAAATTTGTAAAGATCTTTAAATCTAATTGCTCCCAATCTTTTAAATATTTTTTTTAAGTTTATTTATTTATTTTGAGAGAGACAGAGACAGTACAAGCTGGGGGGAGCAGAGAGAGAGAGAGAGAGAGAGAGAGCGAGAGAGAGGCCCAAGCAAGCTCCACCCTGTCAGCACTGAGCTCTACGTGGGGCTCGAACCCACGAAACCACAAGATCGTGACCTGAGCCAAAACCAAGAATTGGACGCTTAACCTAAACCTGAGCTACCCAGGTGCCCCAGTTGCTCCCAATATCTTTTAAAGATAGGGTTCTGCTCTTCTTACCTCTGAGTTGTGGTGGAAATTAAGTGAAATAATGTATATAAAAATTTATAATATGTTTATAAAAATCTGCATTAAAAGCATTATTAATAAAATTTAATAATAGGACAACACATGTTCTAGAGGCTATTCCCTTGAGAAAATCAAATCTCAAGCATAGGTCAGAATTTTAAGAGATTATATAATTCTTCACATTTAAAATTTTAATTCATAATGTCTTACTTTGGCTTGTCTCTCAATCAGAAATACTTTTTTTTTTTTTTAACATTTATTTATTTTTGAGACAGAGAGAGACAGAGCATGAATGGGGGAAGGTCAGAGAGAGAGGGAGACACAGAATCTGAAACAGGCTCCAGGCTCTGAGCTGTCAGCACAGAACCCAACACGGGGTTCAAACTCACGGACTGTGAGATCATGGCCTGAGCTGAAGTCGGACACTTAACTGACTGAGCCACCTAGGCGCCCCATCAATCAGAAATACTTTTTATGCAGAAATGTATTTTGTGACAGAAGTACTTTGCCCTTTGGTTGTTGTACATTTTGAAAATACAGAGCAAACTTCCTTGACCTTAGCACTTTCCAAGTAGGCATCTTCTCTTTTAAGGATATACTGAGAACTGCCTCCATTTTTAAGAAAATGACTTGTCCTCACGTATGTTTAATTGCATTGTAATTTTTAGTTGTGGCATGTATGTGAATGCAAAAAGTAGAACAAAACGTCTCATAGCTTTTTGTGGTTCGTGTTTTTCATTTGCAGCCTTCAAGTAAAATTAAGGTGCCTGAGGAGAATTTCTTCAATGTTCCTGCTTTCTTAACTGTTTCGGGACAACTTCACCTAGAAGTGATGTCAGGGTACAGAATTTTCTTTCTCTTTTGCTTTAATAGACTACCGATTATGGGTTGTGTAAGAGTGAAATAATGCTTTTCTTCCCAATGCTAAAACCTAAAAATTGAAATTAGTGTTTATAATTAGTCCACTTGAATTCACCAGAGTACATTTAGATTTCACAATAACCAGGTTTCTTCCAAAAATACAGTAGTCTAGACTTCTGGTTTTAGTGAAAAATATAATACTGGAAAGATGAAGTTGTGATTTTTTTTTCTTTCTCCTAATTTTTTTTTTTTTTTTGCATAAATCTCACAATTTACGTGTACTTAATCATGTTTATGAAAGTAAAGGCAGTTTTAGTTCACATCAGAGCCAGGTATTAGCCCCTTTCATTTAAAAAAAACAAAAACAAAAAAAGTAGTACCTGGAACAGATGGAAGAAAAAAATTTTTTAAGTAATTGGCTTAAATATAGAAAATTAACCCACAGAACCATCAGGAGCGACATATGACAAATCAGAAAGTCTTGGAAGTCAGATCACATGGTCTTGAAAATAACATATACTTTACTTAGATTCTTTTTTCTGATTTATCTTTGAGACAGAAATTGTTATTTGATAAGTCTAATAACCAGATAATTAACAAGACTATCAGAATACTGTGCAGAAAACCTATTATTGTAATAGCCCTGTGAGAGTGTAGGATTTGCAGAGCTGTGTGTAGAAAAGGTCATGTTAGGCATGTCATGGAAAATTCCGTATGCCTTTCAAAGCATAATTTTAAAAAATTAAAGGGGTGCCTGGGTGGCTCGGTCGGTTAAGCGGCCGACTTCGGCTCAGGTCATGATCTCGCGGTCCGTGAGTTCGAGCCCCGCGTCGGGCTCTGTGCTGACAGCTCAGAGCCTGGAGCCTGTTTCAGATTCTGTGTCTCCCTCTCTCTGACCCTCCCCCGTTCATGCTCTGTCTCTGTCTCAAAAATAAATAAACGTTAAAAAAAATTTTTTTTTTAATTAAAATCATGCCTCATACAAATATAAACTGAACATGTATCAAATATTTTAGTCAATTCATTAATTACTGAGGGAACAAGTAAAGGAGTAAGACTAGTTCAGAGAGCATTTGAAGAGCTGTGTATTCATAGGCAATTTAAGAAAGGAATTTTAGAATAAGATTACTAGGGTAGTTACAAACTGGTTAATAATGTCCTAGACACCATTTCTTTAATTTGGAATTTTCTCTTCTACCTGACAGAAATGATTTGCAGCTCTCCTAGACAAAAATCTACAAGTTAACATGTAAATTTACTTAATCTGGGGTATTTAATTCAATAGTAAATAGAATAATAGAGCAGAGTACTTTCTGATAAGCAATTAAATAACATTTGAATGGGTCTGTGTCCTCATAGTCCATTGAAAGGACACACTGTTTACATTTTGGCCTTACATCCAAGTTTTTTGCATAATCTTTCTTAATTTTTTGGTTTTCTTTTTTTTTTTTTTATCTATAAAGTTAATGGCAAAGTACCTTCCCCTCAGAAATGTCCTAATACCTGAAATATATAAATTTACTAAGTGTTTGCCATTATAATACCACCTAGTGGATTAAATATGTTCCCTCTTTCTCAGTAACGTGAAAGAAACCATAGAACACAATGTACAGCGAAACCTGACAGAAGATTAAATTGGCAGAAGAGGAGGTTCAGTATTATTTAATGTGTTTTGAAGTATTTCTAATAAGTCAGTCAAATGTATCTAGTTGAATATGCATAGTTCTAGGACTATTAATATGCAGTACCTCATGTTTCAGATTAATGCCTGATTTAATCTCCAATGAAAAATTGTTACTCTTCCCTCTGCTTTTTCTTTCATTTTATTCAGCAGACTTTCAAATTTTGTTTTGTTTTTGAGAGAGAGAGAGTATGAGTAGGGAGAGATTGGGGGTCAGAGGATCTGAAGCAGGCTCAGTGCTGACAGCAGTGAGCCTGATGCGGGGCTCAAACTCACAAACCTGATCATGCCCTGAGCTGAAGTCGGGTGCTCAACTGACTGAGCACCCAGGCACCCCTATTTAGCGGACTTTCAAAATGGAGTAAATGGTAGTTAAATTTGGAACATCAACATTTTTCAAAAAAATATCTATGTTGGTTTAGTGGTTTTATGGCTCCATATTAAAGTTTAATTTTGTTGTTGTTTTTAATAAACTTTCTAATTTTGAGCAATTTTTAAATATATAAAAGTTGCACAGATAGTGCAGACTTTTTTATACCTCTTGCCCAGTTTCCCCCATTCTTACTATTGTACATTGCCATGATACAGCCAACAAAACTAAGAACCCAATGTTAATACATTACTATTAACTGCACTCCAGACTTTATTTGGATTTCATGTTTTCCAGCAGTGCCTTCTTCCAGGATCCAGTTTGTTATGCCTCCCCAGTCTCTTCTAGTCTGCATCAATTCGTCAGTCTTTTTTTCTTTTTCATGACTTGTAGAATGTATCCCAGTCTGGATTTGTCTGATGTTTTTCTCATATTTAAACTGGGGTTATATGGGTTTTTGGAAAGAGTACTATAGAGGTGAAGTGATCTGATATCAGGGGGTATGTGACATCCATGTTAACCTTTATTAATATTAATATTATTAACCTTTATTACTTGGCTAAAATAGTGTCTGTTGGGTTTCTCCACTGAAAATATACTATTTTTCCCTTTCTTTGTTCTTTGGAAGTAAGTCACCAGGTCTAGCCAACCCTCACTCTAGGGAGGTGGGAGATGGAATTAAGCATCACCTCCTGGAAGGTAGGGTATTTGGAATTCTTCTGTATGGAACATTTGTTACCACTTCCCTCTTAGTGATTTTTGTACTCACTTATATCAGGAGGGACTCATGTATTTATTTTATAGGTTGGGTTATACTCTAGTTCTGTTACGTATTTTGTTGTTCAAACTGTTGTAGTTTTAGCTGTTGGCAACTCATTCACATCAACTCTCATATCCTTTTGACATGCCCCTATCATTTTGTTTTTTGAGTACTTCCTTATTCTCTGGTACTGTAAGACACCCCTTATTTATTTATTTATTTATTTAGATCAGTGAACCTACACTGACACATTATTAATACTCTTAAGTTTGTAGTTTACATTAGGATTCACTTTTGGTGGTGTACATTCTATTGTTTTGGACAAATGTGTAATAATGGCATATATCTGCCATTATAGTATCATTTAGAATAGTTTCACTATCCTAAAAGTCCTCTGTGCTCTTCCCCCTCCCTTTTTTTTTGGTGCAAAAAGGTGATTTTATTTTTTTAGATTTTTTAAAAATATAATTTATTGTCAAATTGGCTAACATACAGTGTGTACAGTGTTTTGGAGGTAGATTCCTATGGTTCATTGCTTACATACAACACCCAGTGCCCATCCCAACAAGTGCCCTCTTGAATGCCCATCACCCATTTTCCCCTCTCCCCCAACCCCTCATTTGCCCTCGGTTTGTTCTCTATTTAAGAGTCTCTTATGGTTTGCCTTCCTCCCTCTCTGTTTGTAACTATTTTTTTTCTCCTTCCCTTCCCCCATGGTCTTCTGTCAAGTTTCTCAAGTTCCACATATGAGTGAACACATATGATATCTGTCTTTCTCTGACTGACTTCTTTCACTTAACATAATACCTTCCAGTTGCTGCAAATGGCATGATTTCATTCTTTCTCATTTTTGCCAAGTAGTATTCCACTGTAGATATAAACCACATCTTCTTTATCCATTCATCAGTTGATAGACATTTAGGCTGTTTCCATAATTTGGCTATTGTTGAAAGCGCTGCTATAAACATTGTGGCATGTGCCCCTGTACATCAGCACTCCCGTATCCTTTGGGTAAATTCCTAGTAGTGCTATTGCTGAGTCGTAGGGTAGTTCTATTTTTAATACTGAAAAAGAAAACCAAAGCGGGAGGCATCACAATCCCAGACTTCAGCCTCTGCTACAAAGCTGTAACATCAAGACAGTATGGTATTGGCACAAAAACAGACACATAGACCAGTGGAATAGAATAGAGAACCCAGAATTGGACCTACAAATGTATGGCCAACTAATCGTTGACAAAGCAGGAAGGAGTATCCAATGGAAAAAAGACAGTCTCTTTAGCAAACGGTGCTGAGAGAACTGGACAGCAACATGCAGAAGAATGAAACGAGACCACTTTCTTACACCATTCACAAAAAATAAACTCAAAATGGATCAAGGACCTAAATGTGCTCTTCCTATTCATCACTCCCTCCCTCTTAATCCCTGGCAACCACTGTTCTTTTTACTGCCTCCAGAGTTTTGCCTTTTTCAGAATGTCCTATAGTTGGAATCGTAGAGTAAGTAGCCTTTTAAGAGTGGTTTCTTTCACTTAGTGTCGTATACATTCAAGGTTCCTCCAGGTCTGGATAGCTCATTTCTTTTTAGTGCTGAATAATATTCTGTTAATCTGGATGGACCATAGTTTATCCATTCACCTGCCGAGGAATACCTTGGTTGCTCCCAAGTTTTGGCATTTATCCTAGGTTTTTAATTTTCCCTACCCAGACCCAGAATCAGCCATTTCTTCAGAGACTTGGTTCCTTTTACTGGAAAGTGTTATTTTAGAAACCAAGACTCAGTCACTGGGTATCTTGCTGCTCTAGGGGGATTATGGCTTCTACACCCTCAGTAGACACAGCTATAAATACGTTTTTTAAATAAGAGAAAGCTAAGTGTTTTTATCATATTCTGCCTCTAAATATAACTTATACATGACATATTTATTCTGAGAAAATTAGGAATACTAAATTGCAAAACCTATGTTCAGATAGGTCATGTAATAAAAATTTACATTTCTTGTCAGTTAAAGCCAGAATAAGGAAAATATTCAACCTCATGTATTTGAAACAGCTTTTGATTATTATTGGTTTTTTCTTTTCTTTTCTTTTATTTATTTTCTTTTATTTATTTTATCTTATTTTATTTTTATTTTTTATTTTATTTATTTTTTAATGTTTTATTATTTA